ACACACACACACACACACACACACACACACACACACACACACACACAAATTCCATTAATACTGTAAACATAATATTATCAGTTACACTTGCCGCAACATTACAAATGGAATATTACTGGTATTTTGTAATGATTGGGTTTTGTGGTGTTTCTGTGTCGATAAGAAAAAAGAACAGAGACAGATTGGCTTCACTAATGACCAGCTGAAAAGTGCTGGGAGATGCGTGAAGTCTGGCTGATAGCTTCAACAAACAAAATGAATGTTAGGGAAGCTCCACTAGTCTTAAACTATAGAGCAGGCTGTAAATTAGGTTATGGGCTTGTGTCTAATTCAAAGTTTATCATCACGACTGAAGAAACAGCCCGCTGACATATACTGCTTTCATTAGAAGAGCAGTTTCTTGTATTTACATGTCTAATTATCCAGAAACCCAAGGTTTCATTCCCCAAATCTCAAACAAAGGATCTATATCAAACTTACACACATATACATCACAGTTAAAACTATGGAAAACTCCTACTTGGACTTAATGACTGTGAAACTTTGTGATCTAGGAAGTTAAATACATACAAACACGCACACGATTGCAAACTTGGATGAGATTCTGTCGGCTAGTGAAAAACTGGGCGGTTGTTTCAGTTACACAATTATAATCCAAGAGAAGGCTTCTGTATGGAGACATTTAGCCTGGTTTTGTCAGGTTTCATATTCAATATATAAGTGCAGATAGGGCCCCCCCGTTGGCCTTACCTGCACTTAAATGTCCCAAGTTTAAAAACAGCCAGTCGACCTCATCTCTGTCAAATGTCATATCTAACAATATATGAGAATAAAAAGATATTTGAATAAAATGTTTTTAATTCCTTTAGAGTAAAAGCCTGCTCTGCAGCCCGTGTGAAACTGTCTTATCCTGGTGATTATATGTAGTCTTCCTATTACCTACTTAAAGGAGCCGGGAAGTCCAACTGGAACTAATGTTGAGAACCGAAAGATACAGACTTACAGTGATCAGTTTAGGGTTTTGACCCAGATTCATAGAAATGCTGATTGAAATTTTTCAATGAAAAAAGTCACGATTGTCATTATATGATTTAATTTATTCATGCTGATATACTGTCCCTTTTGTAATCCTCTAAATCAACTCCCTAGCTGAAAATCCTCAGGCTCAGCTATCATTATGACCGGGCACACCACTCCCAATAAGAGTCACTAGATTATAAGAAATGTCGCTTTGTTGTGGAGCCTAAAACAAGTTCTTCAACTAAAGACCACTTCTGGACAACTGAAAGTACAGAGAGTAAAATAGGATAAACTGACACTATAAAGCAACCATATTGGTTTAATTTTTCTAAAAAGTTACTTTCTGCTAAGAGCTTTCCAAACATGACAGATACAACATATTTCTGCATCAATAACCATGACTGGCCAGTAAAGGAAAATCTGGAGATAAATAAAGAAAATGTCACATTATTTTGTATTTTCTTCCATTAAAACTTCTTCACACAGCATTTTCCACCCGATACATTTCTTTGGAGCAGCTAAGAAGTGTAAATGTACAAATAGCAGTGCTGAGTATTCCCAGAGGCCCAGGATACCTCACCTTCTTCCCTGCCTTCATGTGCCTTTGAGTGCTTGTGCCAATAAAGTATAAGTAAAACCTTTTATACATCTTCCACTTGCAATAAGAAAAATGAACTCCCCCTGAGAGACACAGCTTAAAGTGGTCCTATGGCCAGATACTCCAATCTCTGTGGCGAAGATTTCCACCTCGTTCAGGGTTATTCTTGGTCTCTTTGTTGCTCCTCTGATCAGTGTCCTCCTTGCCTGTCTTGAGTATTTAGTCCTCCATTGGCAGATTTGTTGTGGTGGCATATTTTTTCCATTTTGGAGTACGTGATTTAATTCTCCGTTCGATCATGTGACACTGTAGCACCAGATCTTATTTCGGGGCTTCATAGCATGAACATATGCACGCACCCCTTTTTATTTATTTGAATTCTTGAAAACAAGCTTTGTTTTGTTTTTTCATTGTTTAGGTCCATTACATAAAATACAAATCCCTTTTTATTCTAGGTACAGGCACTGTACTTCCAGTGTGGAGAACACCTATCAAATTTCCATGACCAGTGGGAACCCTTAACATACAGGTACCCTCTATCACCCTCTATTCAGTGTGCACTTAACGATTATGTAGACAAGAATTCATACTGACTGGAGCAGAGTTGTCCCGTCTGCCTCTGGACTGAATCATCCTTCCGAGGATCTCGACTCCATCTGTGGTGATGTTACCGGCAGCATTGACGGATTTCTCCCCAACCACAGAACAATCTAACACCACCTTCACAGACGTCTTGCTGATGGTTACATGGAGCTGTATGGAAGAGAGAGAATACGGTGCATAAGATAGAAGTATTTCCCAAAATACAGGTAGATGTGAAAATGTATCTACTTTTTGTTTTGACCCAAATATCTTGAGATTGTGGTTAAACATCAACAGTTTAAAGAGATACAGATGGACTGTTTGTATTATTTTAGCAAGTATTTTATCCCAATAGTCACTCTTTAGTCAGTCTCTATTATCCATCATTATTGCCTTAAATAATAATAATAAATGGGTTCCTTTGCTTGAGTGGGATTTTTATAAATGCAGGTTAAAAGCATCTCAACACATATATTGGCCCATCCAGTCAGAGTGCCTGTGAGCTCAAACTGCCTTCTTAGAGGAAACCACTGCCAGAGCCGCAAACTGTGAAATTCAGGTGGTCACACAGTTAATGAGCAAAGAGGGAGCCGCATTCTGGTGATGGGTAGTAATAAAACAGACTATAGCACCTGCGTGTTTCAACAGTATGGGAGGTTTTCTATCACTCTTTCCCATCCTCATTAAAAATATGCATGCTCTGTATGTTACAGGAACATGGAAGCATGAGTGCAGCACATACACCTCTCAACACGTTCACACACAGTAACAAGGTGCAGCTAATGTGAAGTTAGACAAAGTTCATATTCAAGTGTCAGAGCCAATTCCTTGGACGGCTGCTTTATAATGAGTTTCTGTTGTCATCCTCCATTTTTCACACTTCACAAGACATGATGTGTGTGTGTGTGTGTGTGTGTGTGTGTGTTGTACTTGTGTGATATAAAAGATTATATCGATAGTGGTTGGAGTTAAGGTCTGGGGCATTGGTGTATAAACGTATGTTTCGGTGTTTGTGTGTGTGTGTGTGTGTGTGTGTGTGTGTGTGTGTGTGTGTGTGT